CTCTCTGTGACTTTCTCTCTCCCATCTCTCCCTGTCCTCTCTCTCATTTGTCACTGTTTCTGCCCCCCTCTCTCACTCATCTCTCTCTGACTTCTCTCTCCCATCTCTCCCCGTCCTCTCTCTCATTTGTCACTGTTTCTGCCCCCCTCTCTCACTCATCTCTCTGTGACTTACTCTCTCCCATCTCTCTCCGTCCTCTCTCCCATCTCTGTTTCTCTCTTTGTCTCTTTCTCTCAACTCCTATTCTCTCTCTCTCTCTCTCTCTCTCTCTCTCTGTGTCTCTCTCTCTCTCTCTCTCTCTCCCTTCAATCTCTGATTCTGTCTCTCTCTCATCTGATTACATTCTATCTCTCCCATCTCTATATCCTTTTTTATTTGTATCTCTCATCTCTCTCTCTCTCTCTCTTTCTCTCTCTTCCCATCTCTCTCTGTCTGTCTACGGTACTTTCTCTGTTTCTGTCCCATCACTATCTCTCTTAGTCTCTCTCTCTCTCTCTCTCAACTTTCATTGTTTCTGTCTCTCTCTGCGTGGCTTTCACTTTTCAATCTCTGATTCTGTCTCTCTCATCTCCTTCCTGCTGTCTCTATCTCCTCTGTCTCTCTCTCCCTCCAACCTTCCTCTGTCTTTCTCTCTCTCCCCTCTCTGTCTCTCTGTCCCTCCAACCTCCCTCTGTCTTTATCTCTCTGTGTGTCTTTCTCTCTGCTATCTCGCTATCTGTCTCTCCCACCTTCCCTCTCTCCCTATCTCTCTCTCTCTCTCTCTCTCTCTCTCTCTCTCTCTCTCTCTCTCTCCAAAATCACTGAATACATAACGAACGACAATTCCCATTTCTCCCAGCTAATCTGTAGACCTGATCTATGTTGTCTGTAGAGGCAGCGATCCACGGTAATGTGGTGCTGATACTTCACGAAAGGCGATAATTGCTTGATTTCACAACCACAGTGAAATGTAGTGCCCCGACAACACTCGTAAATCATCACTCTTTGTTGTCCAACATATCTATTATAGCGGTGTTGATTTCAACCGCTCGCGTTAATGTGCCCTGTAATAGATCAACTGTATAGAGTGGGGAGAGTGATGGACACCGACACGAGGAATCAATTTCACGGCAGTAGTTTCCCCACATACAATGCTCATTGAAATTGACAAGTAGGGGACGAAATTGTTGCAGTTCGAGGGTCACTTTTAGGGTAATTGCTCGATTGTGCTGTGGCTTATAGCCATTTCAGCAACATGAATACATGTTATGGCGCATCGATAAACAGGCAGATATCGTGTTGTGAGCCCATTCTACGCAGCCATGTCTCAATACGAAATCAAATAACGCTGACTTTCAAAGATTCTTTAACCAGTTTATGTTATTAATCAGTCTTACAATTCGCCGAAGAGCAACCGGAATATGTAATATAAGGCTTGTTAAAGAAAATTTATTGTATCTCATGACCCTAACAATTTTATTGTATTTTCAAGCCTCGATCAACTGAAATATCGTTTTTGAAACGTATTCCGACTTTTTGAACTACGTAACGCATGGGTCGTGGCCAAATGTGGTCACGTGGTACATTAGAATCAAGCTTCTTTTTGTAGATTTCTAACCAATAGCTATTAAGAAAAAAAATAAGAACCTCCTCTAATTGTCTTCTGAGACAAACCAAAGTTGAAAGATTTAAATCGAAGTGATCCTTAAAAATGAGCTTTGGTTAAAAACTTGCTCAAATATTTACAAAATCCTGACAACCTTCAAAATCGAAGCAATTCAGTCTTACATAAAAAAAAATATTAAAATTTTAGTATTTTAGTAATGAGTCCAAATGACATCAGCAAAGTTCTCTTTAAGATGAGCATCGGTGATAAATTTTATAATCAGTTCCTAAGAATATTGCTAAGTTCTTAAATTATGTCGACCCTGTACATGTGGGCTAACGGGGGCCCTTTTCATACAGTGCCTTTTCATAAAAAAAACCCCTGACGTTTCAATAAATGTTCAAACAAGTTTTGATGGTGGCTAAAGATAAAACAAACAAGAAATGGATATTACATGCATCATATGAATGAGTATCAGCTGACGTGCACGTGGCGTCTTAAGGAACATGGGGCAATTTCACAGTACACAGTAATGTTTGTTTGTTTGGTGTAACGCTGCACTCAGCAATATTCCAGCTATATGACGGCGGTCTGTAAATAAACGAGTCTGGACCTGACAATCCAGTGACTGACCTCATGACCATCGATCTAGGCAACTGAGATACGATGACATGCATCAACCAAGTCAGCGAGCCTGACCACCCGATCCCGTTAGTCGTCTCTTACGACAAGCAAAGTCGCCTTTTACGGCAAGCATGGGTTGCTGAAGACCTATTCTACATCAGATCTTCACGGGTAAGGTTTCATGTAAAAAGTGTTTGAGACATTCACTGCCTGGCAGAAAAGAGTATACACTTCAACATTGGATTTGAAGCGACAAGCATAGTCGCCTTTTATGACAAGCATGGGTTGCTGAAAACCCAGTCTAGCCCGGCTCTTCACGGGGGGAGACAAGCTTGGGTTGCTGAAGACCTAGTCTACCCCGGATCTTCACGGGGGGAGACAAGCATGGGTTGCTGAAGACCTAGTCTACGCCGGATCTTCACGGAGGGAGACAAGCATGGGTTGCTGAAGACCTAGTCTACCCCGGATCTTCACGGGGGGAGACAAGCATGGGTTGCTGAAGACCTAGTCTACCCCAGATCTTCACGGGGGAGACAAGCATGGGTTGCTGAAGACCTAGTCTACCCCGGATCTTCACGGGGGGAGACAAGCATGGGTTGCTGAAGACCTAGTCTACCCCGGATCTTCACGGGGGGAGACAAGCATGGGTTGCTGAAGACCTAGTCTACCCTGGCTCTTCACGGCAAGTATGGGTTGCTGAAGACCTAGTCTACCCCGGATCTTCGGGGGGGGGGGGGGGGGGAGAGACAAGCATGGGTTGCTGAAGACCTAGTCTACCCCGGATCTTCACGGGGGGAGACAAGCATGGGTTGCTGAAGACCTAGTCTACCCTGGATCTTCACGGGGGGAGACAAGCATGGGTTGCTGAAGACCTAGTCTACCCCGGATCTTCACGGGGGGAGACAAGCATGGGTTGCTGAAGACCTAGTCTACCCCGGATCTTCACGGAGGGAGACAAGCATGGGTTGCTGAAGACCTAGCCTCACCCCGGATCTTCACGGGGGGAGACAAGCATGGGTTGCTGAAGACCTGTTCTACCCCGGATCTTCACGACAAGCATGGGTTGCTGAAGACCTAGTCTACCCCGGATCTTCACGGGGGGAGACAAGCATGGGTTGCTGAAGACCTAGTCTACCCTGGCTCTTCACGGGGGGAAACAAGCATGGGTTGCTGAAGACCTAGTCTACCCCGGATCTTCACGGCAAGTATGGGTTGCTGAAGACCTAGTCTACCCCGGATCTTCGGGGGGGGGGTTGGGGAGACAAGCATGGGTTGCTGAAGTCCTAGTCTACCCCGGATCTTCACGGGGGGAGACAAGCATGGGTTGCTGAAGACCTAGTCTACCCCAGATCTTCACGGGGGAGACAAGCATGGGTTGCTGAAGACCTAGTCTACCCCGGATCTTCACGGGGGGAGACAAGCATGGGTTGCTGAAGACCTAGTCTACCCCGGATCTTCACGGGGGGAGACAAGCATGGGTTGCTGAAGACCTAGTCTACCCCGGATCTTCACGGGGGGAGACAAGCATGGGTTGCTGAAGACCTAGTCTACCCCGGATCTTCACGGAGGGAGACAAGCATGGGTTGCTGAAGACCTAGCCTCACCCCGGATCTTCACGGGGGGAGACAAGCATGGGTTGCTGAAGACCTGTTCTACCCCGGATCTTCACGACAAGCATGGGTTGCTGAAGACCTAGTCTACCCTGGATCTTCACGGGGGGAGACAAGCATGGGTTGCTGAAGACCTAGTCTACCCTGGCTCTTCACGGGGGGAAACAAGCATGGGTTGCTGAAGACCTAGTCTACCCCGGATCTTCACGGCAAGTATGGGTTGCTGAAGACCTAGTCTACCCCGGATCTTCGGGGGGAGACAAGCATGGGTTGCTGAAGACCTAGTCTACCCCAGATCTTCACGGGGGAGACAAGCATGGGTTGCTGAAGACCTAGTCTACCCCGGATCTTCACGGGGGGAGACAAGCATGGGTTGCTGAAGACCTAGTCTACCCCGGATCTTCACGGGGGGAGACAAGCATGGGTTGCTGAAGACCTAGTCTACCCTGGATCTTCACGGGGGGAGACAAGCATGGGTTGCTGAAGACCTAGTCTACCCCGGATCTTCACGGGGGGAGACAAGCATGGGTTGCTGAAGACCTAGTCTACCCCGGATCTTCACGGAGGGAGACAAGCATGGGTTGCTGAAGACCTAGCCTCACCCCGGATCTTCACGGGGGGAGACAAGCATGGGTTGCTGAAGACCTGTTCTACCCCGGATCTTCACGACAAGCATGGGTTGCTGAAGACCTAGTCTACCCCGGATCTTCACGGGGGGAGACAAGCATGGGTTGCTGAAGACCTAGTCTACCCTGGCTCTTCACGGGGGGAAACAAGCATGGGTTGCTGAAGACCTAGTCTACCCCGAATCTTCACGGCAAGTATGGGTTGCTGAAGACCTAGTCTACCCCGGATCTTCGGGGGGGGGGGGGGGGGGGGGGGGGGAGACAAGCATGGGTTGCTGAAGACCTAGTCTACCCCGGATCTTCACGGGGGAGAAAAGCATGGGTTGCTGAAGACCTAGTCTACCCCGGATCTTCACGGGGGAGAAAAGCATGGGTTGCTGAAGACCTAGTCTACCATGGCTCTTCACGGGGGGAAACAAGCATGGGTTGCTAAAGACCTAGTCTACCCCGGATCTTCACGGCAAGCACGGGTTGCTGAAGACCTAGTCTACCCCGGATCTTCTGTGGGGGGGGGGGGGGGGGGGGGAGACAAGCATGGGTTGCTGAAGACCTAGTCTACCCTGGATTTTCACGGTCGTACACGGTAGTGAGCAGCGGGGAGTAGGTATTGTCGTGGTCAGTTTGTGTTGGTTCAAACAAACCAGACGTGCCGTTCTCAATAGTGAATATGACCAAACGGGCACCAGCGCGGTCCACACTTGCCGTCCCATCGGCGTCGTCAACGTCGATAGGAATCTGGGAATCGTTCCCCGCTGGAACAAACAGAATCTGCTTTCGTCAGTGCAAATTATCTCCCTTGCAGGGAACGATGTTTACAAGCGGCCATTAAAACAGGGTAGTGGTAGACAATCCTGCTCCCTGATGGTTGAACCACAAGAGTCGTTGCATACCCTTAACTAGTGCCGTCTTCGACGTCGATGTTTATGGGTCGAGGTCATTCTACGAAAGGGGCGGTAGACTCGAATACCTGCGAGACAGCGTAGCCCAGTGTGTCGACCAATGCATGTGTACAGTTGAAGTACGCACAGTTCTGGAATCTCTGCCACCTATTTGCCTCATTCCAATGGCCCTCTCTCTCTGTTGTACATCTGGCTATATATTCTGCTTTTTTGCAACGATTAGTTGCATTTTATGTACTTTCTGCACGTACCCGAAAAAAAGGTGTTTCAGGTGATTTTTTACAGCTGCAAGTGCAGGTACATCTTTCAAGCCAACTGCAGAAAATAAAACAAACAAGGCATGGTTAGTCGATCGTGGTGAATTTACAGAGTTTTCAGTGTTTCGGACCTGTGTCCAGCCTCGTAGCGTCTGATAACGTTTAGAATTTCTTTGTTCAAAAGAATGCGTAACGTTCGTTTGCCCGGCAGTATACCGTTGCTGCTGTAGACTGTTTGTCATTGTGTTGTTAACGCCGCACTCAGCAATAGTCCAGCTATATGACTGCGGTCTGTAAATAGCCGAATCTGGACCAGACAATCCAGTGATTGACATCGTGAGCATCGTACTACACAAGTGGGATGCGGAAACATGCATCACACAAGTCAGCAAGCCCGTGAGTCGCCTCTTACGACAAGCATGGATTGCTGAAGATTAATTCTAACACGGATCTTCACGGGTGAGTTAAAAATATGAAATTTGTTATAACCAAACGTTTGGAAATTAGGTAAAGTTGTTTAAGAAAACAAGGTGTTTATAACCAGTCTTTTGTAGGTGATGTAAAGTTGTTTACGGCCAGCCGTTTGGAAAATTGTATAAAGATGTTTATAATCAGTCGTTTCTAAAGTATATATGGTTGTTTATATAATTAGGGCCAGTCTTTTGTGTAAAGGTGTATATGGCTAATCGGGTGAATATTAGGTAACAATGTTATGATCAGTCTTTTGTAAATCATGTAAAGATATTTTTGGCCAGTCGTTTTGAATTTGTTATGTAAAGTTGTACACAGCCAGTCGTTTGGAAATTTTGTAAAATGTTTATGGCAAGTCGTTTGGAAATTATTATATGAAGTTATATATGACTAGTCGTTTGGAAATTAGTTTATAATGTTGTATATGGCAAGCCGTTTGGAAATTATTATAAAAAGTTCTTCATAGCTAGTCGTTTGGAAATTGTTACATAAAGTTGTATATGGCTATTCGTTTGGAAATTATTACATAAAGTTGTATATGGCTATTCGTTTGGAAATTATTACATAAAGTTGTATATGGCTATTCGTTTGGAAATTGTTACATAAAGTTGTATATGGCTATTCGTTTGGAAATTATTATAAAAAGTTCTTCATAGCTATTCGTTTGGAAATTATTACATAAAGTTGTATATGGCTAGTCGTTTGGAAATTATTACATAAAGTTGTATATGGCTATTCGTTTGGAAATTATTACATAAAGTTGTATATGGCTATTCGTTTGGAAATTATTATAAAAAGTTGTTCATAGCTAGTCGTTTGGAAATTATTACATAAAGTTGTATATGGCTAGTCGTTTGGAAATCATTATAAAAAGTTGTTCATAGCTAGTCGTTTGGAAATTATTACATAAAGTTGTATATGGCTAGTCGTTTGGAAATTATTACATAAAGTTGTATATTGATAGTCGTTTGGAAATTATTACATAAAGTTGTATATGGCTTGTCGTTTGGAAATTATGTAAATTAGTTTATTGCTATTCGTTTGGAAATTATGCAAGAGATGTTCATCGCCGGTTCTGAAACTAGCGTGATTATGTTATTGCTAGGAACCTCATTGAAGTTAATTTGCGGAACTTAGGTATCGAGGTTTTCGCATACAGGGAGAACGCTTCGTGTACTGTTTCTTGGTTTTATCATTTAACCTTATGTGCCTTCAGTTGGACTTCACTCATTCCTGCAGTGCGACTTAAACATGATCTGACAATTCAGTGACAGTTATCACAGCACGTCAGCTCATTGTTGGAGGAAAGACAGACGTCATGCCTGATAATTGATTAAGTTTGGTAAAACCCCAAGCTCATTAAAATCAGACCTTAGTGTTTACTATCTCTACACAAAGATCTGAGAACACCCCTTTACATCCCGGTGTAGAATTTGTGCCCAGCTCCCTCTGCTGATCGTAAGAGGTGACATAATGGATCAGGTTGATAGCGTTAATCAGTGGATTGTCTGGTCCAGGCTCGGTTAGTCACGGGTGACGTCATAGCTGAAATATGCAGCCTACAAACACACACACACACAAACACACACACACAAACACACACACACACACACACAAACACACACACACACACAAACACACACACAAACACACACACACACACAAACACACACACAAAAACTTACACACACACACACAAACACACACACAAACACACACAAACACACACACAAACACAAACACAAACACACACACACAAACACACACACACACACAAACACACTCACACACACAAACACACACACACACAAACACACACACACAAACAAACACACACACACACACACTCACACACACAAACACACACACACACAAACACACAAACACACAAACACACATACAAACACACACACACACACACACTCACACAAACACACACACTCACACACACAAACACACACACAAACACACACACACACACACAAACACACACGCACACGCACACACACAAACACACACACACAAACACACACACAAACACACACACACACACACACACACGTATTTTAACCTGCATATACAATCATGGTGAGTATGTTTGAAGATGCAGACAGCGCTATGTCTGTCTGTGCCGTCGGTAAAAGCGAGGTTATGTGGAATGGGGTTTAAGGTCGCTTTCAAGATTATGTATATGGAGACGTGCATGTACGCGTGTGTGTGGCTGCTTGTACTAGTCCGGAATAATGTCAGTTTTATAGTGCTAACTCACTTAGATACCATGCCGCAGTTGAACATGAATACCCCACTCAGACACAGTATACTGACTCCGGTCATAGTATAGCCCTTAATGCCGAGCGCCAGGCAGGTTAACAAAAGGGGCCATCGTTTAACGTTTTTTTGTTTTTTTGACGCGTCCGAGCAGACGCCCACCAGATCACGGAGGTGGTCCCCTCGAAAAAGAGGTATCACGTGACAATTACAATCAGCTTATACGCATCCCGTTTCGTTGAATTCATATTTCACATGTGCGCTTGGGGAACGATAGAATATAGAACATGACAATTGACCAGGTTTATTTCCCAAGAGCTATGCAAAATTTCACCGAACATTTAACCCGAAGCACTATGGAAGCTTGTCCATTTCAAAATGGAAAGCATTTACGTGTAATAACTCCCCGTTTTGACGCGTGGCGCGACTTGACGAGACATAGATGGCGCTCTCGAACCAATTATCTCCCTTGCAGGGAACGATGTTTGCAGGCGGCCATTAAAACAGGGTAGTGGTAGACAATCCTGCTCCCTGATGGTTGAACCACAAGAGTCGTTGCAATATATCGCTGGCCTGTGTCTGAAATAGACATGGTCCTTTTTATTGTACCCAGTGGAGTAATATCATACCCAGTACACGGATTTGTCATGAAGGAGAAGGGATAGACTGTGATATTAGAATCTCCATCAGCCTAATTGAAATAAAATCCATGTGTGCCGATTGTATCGTTAATGGGTATAAGCTGATCTCACGTGCGATGCGGTAATCAAGCAACAGCTGTCTCGTCGAGGTCTTTTTTTTGTAATACCCGCATGTTTATTTTCGGATTATTTGAGATTGGAGAATAAATACAAAATTAACTATCGCGTTGGATAGCTGAATGGAAACATCAGGTGTAAACAAAAGGACCCTGACAGAGCTTGGTAATCGCATTGTCAATAGATGATGTTATGTGACGAGAGGCCTTGATTTGCTTGGTGTGTTGACATTTAAGCCTATTGGTATTCCGGGAAGGTTGAGATCAATATTGAGCAAACGGTGATTTTGATTAATTTCAGTTTCCAGTTTGCTGTCATGATTTTTGTTCAGTGCACCACTGGGTACATGGCTGGTCCACTCGTCTAAGGTGCTGCGTGTCGCTTTTCAGAGTCGTGTCCCTTGGGCTTGCCAAAAATGAAGGACTGGGGGTTCGAATCCTGGTTCGCATCACCCGTGCTCGTGGGTTTCACCAAAGTGGCAAACGTCTGAGCCCTGCATCACGCCAGGCTTTCCTCATAGAGCTGTTCAAAGGTAAAACCCACTCCTCCCTCACTCACTCACTCTCACCCAGCTGGGAACAATGTGTGTCTGTATGTCATATGTCCTGTATGTCTGAGCTGGAAACTCCGCTCACCTCGTGTATGTCTGAGCTAGAAACTCCGCTCACCTCCTGTATGTCTGAGCTGGAAACTCCGCTCACCTCGTGTATGTCTGAGTTTGAAACTCCCCTCACCGCGTGTATGTCTGAGCTGGAAACTCCGCTCACCTCGTGTATGTCTGAGCTGGAAACTCCGCTCACTTCCTGTATGTCTGAGCTTGAAACTCCACTCACCTCGTGTATGTCTGAGCGGGAAACTTCGCTCACCTCATGTATGTCTGAGCTGGAAACTCCACTCACCTCCTGTACGTCTGAGCTTGAAACACATCTCACCTCCTGTATATCTGAGCTGGAAACTCACCTCACCCCGTGTATGTCTGAGCTGGAAACTCCCCTCACCTCTGTATGTCTGAACTAGGAACTGCACTCACCTCATGTATGTCTGAGCTAGGAACTCACCTCACCTCCTGTATGTCTGAACTAGGAACTGCACTCACCTC